GGAGCCGCTGCTGAAGCCGCAGTGGTATGTGAACTGCACAGATATGGGCAAGCAGGCTGCAGACGCTGTCAGAGAGGGACAACTCAAAATCATCCCTGATCACCACCTCAAGACGTGGTTCAATTGGATGGACAACATCAGGTAATCGTCTCTGTATTTTTAAATAGTTTTCTTCAGTTTTATCCTTATTGTTTACACTTTAATAGTTCCAAATGAATTTTCTGTCAATCAGTTAATTAATCAACTAATTATTTTTGCTATAGAAATAGATTATTTTAAACGTGTGTGTGTGTGTGTGTGTGTGTGTGTGTGTGTGTGTGTGTGTGTGTGTGTGTGTGTGTGTGTGTGTGTGTGTGTGTGTGTGTGTGTGTGTGTGTGTGTGTGTGTGTGTCCCGTTTGAGATTTCATCCATCCATCTTCCGTGCAGGGACTGGTGTATCTCTCGGCAGCTGTGGTGGGGTCACCGTATTCCTGCTTACTTCGTCACTGTCAATGATTCCTCTGTGAAACCAGGAGAGGTAAGTTGCTGTCTGTCCCTATTGTTAAGATCTGGAGGTCTTCAGATGACAGATGAAAGCTATTTGTTTCGGTTATTCTGCTTTTATTTTTTCTTATTTATTTATTCTTTTTTCCCCTCCAGGACATGGATGGTCATTACTGGGTGTGTGGGAGAACGGAGGAAGAGGCCAGAGAGAAGGCAGCAAAACGCTTCAATGTGTCTGCTGACAAAATTACCCTCAGACAGGGTAAGATTTAACAGTTTTTAATTTAGCAGTTTACAATAATTGTAAAGGTTATCTAATCAGTTCATGTTTTGCTACTACACACATTTGCCTAATTTAATTAATTCTGCTCCATATTCATACAGATTAGATAAGTTTTGTTCTTTGTGTTTCAGATGAGGATGTTCTGGACACTTGGTTCTCGTCTGGCATTTTCCCCTTCTCCATTTTCGGATGGCCTAATGAGGTAAAAGACTGAGGTCTACCACCTTTTTACTGACACAAATGGCACTTCTTTGCAGTAGATAATAAGGATATCGTCTGCAGTAGAAACACTGATCCAAAAAAGCCTAATAAAAAGACTTTTACTTCTGCGTATCAAAATATTATCACTTTACCTCTCAGTGTATTCTGTAGAGAATCTGACTTTCAAAAAGTCTTTTGTTTCTTCAGTGTGTTTTTGTATTTCCATTATAAATGTTGCTCTTTTGTTATTTTCCTTTAGACCCAGGACCTGAATGTGTTCTACCCTGGCACCTTATTGGAGACGGGCCATGACATCCTGTTCTTCTGGGTTGCCCGTATGGTGATGATGGGCCTTAAACTGACTGGCAAACTGCCCTTCAAAGAGGTGAATTTAATTTAATTTAAAACTGCCAAAACTGAAAAAACACAACCGGATGTGATATTAGTGTTATTAGCAGGACATGACTAAATAATGAGGATGCTTTTCTTTTTGACAGGTTTATCTGCATGCAGTGGTGAGGGACGCCCACGGAAGGAAAATGAGCAAATCTCTGGGCAACGTCATTGATCCTCTGGATGTCATTACAGGGATCTCCCTTGAGGTAAAGTCTAATCACGCTTTGATGCATGTTCAGATTCACACTTACATAAAGTCTTTCCTCTCTCCCATTTGGGTTTTCTTTTACATGGACACCACACGCTCATTGCTCCCCCGAGGGCCATATTCTTATGTAAGCTTTATTAAGCACCCTTTTCTGCTTCCAACAAGCTTTTATTGAGGCCATCAATCTCTTCACTAGCTAGAGGGATACTGCTCCGTCAGACGAAACAGACCTGTCCTCTAGAGGGCACTGAAGGACTTGTAGTAAACTGCACTTTACCCTTAATGTTTCCCTTTTAAGCCCTGCCCAGTTAAAACATCAAGCAGTTAAAAGCGGGGGGTTTTCATTCTCAAGATGAAGAGAAAATTGTTAAACACATTGTTTAAATGGTGACTTATTCCCTATCCCCCCCACGCTCTAGGGTCTTCATGCCCAGTTGACGGACAGCAACTTGGATCCACTGGAGGTGGAGAAGGCAAAGCAGGGCCAGAAGTCAGACTACCCAAGTGGCATCCCAGAGTGTGGCACAGATGCTCTCCGGTTCGCCCTGTGTGCCTATACTAGCCAAGGTGAACTCATTTGTCTTTTTTGTTTTTCTTACTTTCTGTCTTGTTGTGCCTCTATTGGCCCACTGCCTGAATGTCAACCTTGACTGCATAAAATATCTGAAAATTCTGGAAAAATGGCATTACAAGCCTGTCACTACAAGGTCAGTGGAAACGAATCTGTTTTAATATATACTGAAATGATCATTTATTCCTGTGTTTGTCTCCCAGGTAGGGATATCAACCTGGATGTCAACCGTATCCTGGGTTACCGTCACTTCTGCAACAAACTGTGGAACGCTGTGAAGTTTGCCATGAAGACACTAGGAGACAACTTTGTACCATCAGAGAAAGCCAAGGTGAGACCAGGGGAAAAAGATGAAGGACACTGAGAATATAAACAAAGTCTGCCCCATCCTAATTTATATTCATCCAGTGACATACGTACCATGTTTTGACCAAGTAAATGTTTAGTAAAACTGTCTTCTTGATACTATGTTTTTGTCTGCGGGTTTAGTTTCCCTATATGCCCTGTTTTTGTATTCATAAGCTGCACACATTGACATTCGGTATATACTTAGTACGGCGGTCGTGTTAACTGAATCTGAACATTTCCTTTTTACACTTCACTCAATCCTCTCAGTTGTGTGGAGAGGAGAGTGTATCAGACAGGTGGATTCTGTCTCGACTGAGTGCTGCTGTTGGTCTCTGTGATGCTGCCTTCAAGGCCTACGACTTCCCAGCCATCACAACTGCCATCTACAACTTCTGGCTGTATGAGCTCTGTGATGTCTACCTGGTAAGGAACTTTTAAACCACTGAGGAGCCCAGGTCCATTCATCCTTAAATAGATTATGCGAGGGCATGTAAAAAGTTAATGATTTTACAGAAGACTGTGTACTCAGGACCAAAACAAATTCCACTACTTCATCCTCTTCATCTTCCCTCCCACTCTTCTTGTCCTCCAGGAAAGTGTGAAACCAGTGTTCAGTAAAGCAGAGGAAGACAGCACCAGCCAGAGACAGGCCCTCGTGTGCAGACAGACCCTGTACACCTGTTTAGAAGTCGGTCTGCGCCTTCTGTCTCCCATAATGCCCTTCGTCACTGAGGAACTCTACCAGAGGTTACCACGACGACGACCTCAGACTGATCCCCCCAGCATCAGTGTCACATCCTACCCTGACACTGAGGAGGTGAGATAAGGGAAGGGTAAATTATTTTCTTATATTCTGACCTCACAGGTCAGTTGCAGTTGCACATATTGTGAGGAAATGAACATCACTTATTTTAAATGATAGTCACTGAAGTTTACTTTTTGGTGATGTTCTTCTTCTGTGTTTGTGAGCACCAAGTTTAACTGTGATTTGTTGCAGTTCTGCTGGCACAGCGAGGAGGTCGACCGTGACATGGAGTTCATAATGAGTGTGGTCAAGACCATCCGCTCACTGAGGGCCGATTACAACCTGACCAAGACCAGAGCTGACTGTAAGATGACACACAATAAACTAAATATAAAAGTTACTCTGAAATAAAGTTTAAGGCCAACTATTTATCATGTCAGTGTGAAAGGGTAATAGCAGTGTTTATGAATCTGGGTGTAATTCTTATATTTTTGCGTTGTTATGATGTTCTATGATAATTGTTACTTTGACACAAGACACATGACGAGCTTGTAAAATATGATTCACTGTAATAGATACAACTACAGAACAGCATGTAGAGAAGTTAATATTGGCTCCACCTCACAGCAATAATGTAGTAACATCATTTTCCTTCATCTTTTATGATGCCTAATCTTTAATTTGCTAATTTTTCTCCCAGGCTACCTTCAGTGCATAGACTCTGCGACTGCGTCCCTGGTGCAGAAGTACAGTCTGCAGATTCAGACCTTGTCTTATTCTCAGGCCATCATCCCTCTGACAGCCAACCAGCCTGTCCCAGAAGGCTGTGCTGTGGCTATCGCTTCTGACAGATGTACTGTCAACCTTATGCTCAAGGTGAGGGCGAGTAATCTGTTTCTCCTATCTCTCTACCCTAGAGTTTATGTGTGAATACATTAGTTGATTTTGTTTTAGTTTTTTTTAGACACAAGATGTGGTGGTGTTATATCTTACTTGTTTTTACAGTTGCAAATTAGTTAAATTCAGTTCTGTTTTGACAAGTTACATAACTACTTGAATGCACATTCCCCTACTTGGTAACTGAAGCAATAATGCTAGGAATACTATATAAACTAGGTCTCCTTCACTTGAATTCGAGTTTGTGTTTCCTTCGTTCCTCCTCTCCTGACCTGAAATAACAAGATCTTAATTTAAAACTGTCCTTTTCTTCACCTTTAATTCCCCCAGGGTATCATTGATGTGGAGAAGGAAGTGGCTAAGCTGATGACAAAGAAAGGTGACTTGGAGAAACAGATGGAGAAACTGACAGAGAAGATGTCAAAGAGTGACTACAAGGAGAAGGTGCCAGTGAAGGTGCAGGAGCAAGATGCTGAGAAGGTGGGAACATAAATTGATTCAGTGTTTCTTGGGATGTGGTAAATTCATGGTAAATAATGACTTCCTTTTCTCCACAGCTACGGCAGAGCCAAACTGAACTGGAAAAAGTAAAAGAAGCCATGGACAACTTCAGGAAAATGATGTAACTTTCCCTTTAGCGTTATGTAAATCAGGATCTATTTCCACTTTTCATGTCAGTGTGTTAATTTTCATATTCATTTTCCAAGTTGATTGTAGTGTGGAGGGAATTCAATAAAACTCTTATATTAGACAATTGTCTTCAGCAGGGTATTGTTCTGAGGCAATCTATTAATCTAATTCTCTTGTATATCTGTGCAATTTATTGAACACTTAAGAAGAAATGATTTCAGTCCCTTGTGTTAAACATGTTATTCAGCATATTTAATAGAACACGTAAGCAGAACATACAGCTTTGTTCATAAAGAGTGTCCACAGAAAAGAAATAAACCTGAAAAGCTTTTTAACACTTTGGCTGCATTTTTAAAGATTAAAATTCCTCTGACCTGACACCATTAAGATATTTTATATTGTATTAAATTGTAGCAATGTATTTCTGCTATAATTGATTCTTTACAAACACAGCCAAAGAGGGAACAATGGAAGGAGTGAGAGATGGCTTATGCATTTACATGAAATGCACCCTTTTATCTTTTTTTTTTTTTTTAGAGAGACAAACTGAAAAGTATGACTAAACACTAACCTAAAAAAAAAAAAAAGTACCATATTTTACAGGTTTTTGGGTGTGGGTGGAGATAGTAGACCAGATCTTTCCAGATGCCACCACAGCAACACTATACATGAAAACAAATCTGTCTTGGAAAAAATTTGGAACAAAATCACAGTAATACATTCACACCATGCCAGGAACACGCTCTGACCACAGGCCATCCAAATCCTCTGCTGCTCATTTCCTCTCATCCATTCTTCTTTACAGTCTCCAGGGTGAGTGGAACTCGGAGGCGGGGAGAGGAGTGCAGTGTGTTGTTTCAAAGTTTCGCATGTACTTCCGAGCCTTGGAGAGGGAAAAAAAAAGACCGGGGATGGAGGAGGAATAGAGAATGAGAGGTGTGGGAGGGCAATGAACAAAAAGTGCAGAACTTGATTATATTAGCTTCGGTCTGTCTGGCACAGTGCCATACAAATCTCTCCAATCTCTTAAGGGTTTACACGGGGAGGTGAATAAAGCCTAATTCAGAAGGCATTACCCAGGGAGGAGAAGCATAGCATTAGCTGTAATTGATGGCACTCCTCTTGTTTGATGTTAAATGACTTCAATAAGCTGAGCGTGGTGAAATATATTACACCAGTCAACCTGAGAGCACAGGTGAGCTGGTTTCTATGGCGACCAGGAAAGTGTTCCTCAGTGGTAATGATGTCTGTGAATAGCTGTGATGTGGTTTTTTTGGAGTGCGAGAGAAGGGGGAAGGCAAGCCAACCTTAAACAAGAAAATGGGGCTTATATTGGAGAAAAGAAAATTAGACTTTTTTCATTTTTTTTTTTAGAGAGATGAGCAAGACAACAGGTGGCTGCACTTTAAAAACCAGACAAGAGAAACAACTGTACACACTGTGATTGAGTGCATGGATAACAAATCGGTTGATTTATTTACCAAGAAAAGAGCCAGCTGCCGCCTTCCCTCTAGAGTCATATCCTCACCTGGTAACATAAAGAGTGAGACCATGTTAAAGTACTGTACGGAGATACATGTATGTGCGAAAGTAGTACTGAGTGCAGTTTATTTGTCTAGTAAATGTGAAGGGACCCGGGACTTACCAACACTCCATGGAAACAAAACATCCCTCTCTGCCTGATACGACTGCAGCACAGAGACACACCAGTCGTCGTCCACCTCGTAGCCACTGTACACTGATGCTGCAGAGCAAGAGTGACATTACACGCAATTGTCAAAATACCAACTTAGTAAACAATCTTTTCCTTTTTTTCCCTGTTTAATACAGTAGGTTTTATTCTAATTTAGTTCAAAGGCAGTCTAGAGTGTCCAACACAGTGAAATGGCTGTGTGAACACATAGGCACACTTACCTTCTTCTAAGTGATTAAAAGATCCCAGCCATTGTCTGACGACTCTAATCCCTTCATCTGTCATTATTTTTGGGTACCTGGGCAGGAAAATGACATCACCACTTACATGTGTGAGCATATCCAGCAATGAGACAACTGAGGTTACATGTTTGAAAATCAGGAGACCGACCTGAACTGTAGCAGTTTGAGCAGAAGGTCGTTGCCTCTGTTAGACATGACGTCCTCTGGACCCCTGTAATACAGTGTGCAACTTATTATCATGTACTGTCAGTGGACCTCGTCACTGACTGGGTAAGTGAATCCTTCCTCCTACCTCTGCATCAACTAGCAAGACACTTAACCCTCACCATTTTGATAATGACTGTGTTGTAAACAGTAGATGATTCAAGTGCTGGATAGTTTCCTGTAGTTTCATTGTAGTAATTGCAGTAAAGAAAATCTGTGTTTAGATGACAGGAATATGTTTCCTTTCCCCTCCAGACACATTTTAAATTATGTAAAAATACTCGCCTATGATTAATATTTTGTTTTAAATGTTTTTTCCTACATAAAGAGAAAAACTCACCGAGAAATTGCTTGCTAGATTGGCCAGTAAAAGAGTAGTGCATATCAACATGGCTAGCATTAGAGGAAACATTGGCTGACACTGTGTTAGTGGTTGTGAAACATGTAATATCTGCTACAATATTACGTTGTGTTCACATTGTTATTACATATTAGATGAAGGAAGCTCCAGGGCCAGTTTACACCCTAAAACTGCACACTCATGTTTGCTGTCAAAACTTTTACTATGCTTGTACAAACTCTCACTTACTGTACTGACAAGTCCGCTCTGTGCTGAAAGTTTCATGTTTCTTTGCCGGTGACCTCAGTGGTTAAATCGTATTCGTAAAGTCTCACTTCATTTTTAACTGAACCATTGTTATGCCCTCATCCAACATCCTATTTCAACCAAAATGTGTTGAGGGCTTACGTTGTGGTGATGATCTCATCTCTGGTTCTCCTGATCAGCAGGACTGGTCCCTGATATCTGGAGGAAGAGAAAGAGTTACGTTAATCATCAGCCAGATCACTGAGCTGCGCAAACAAAAACAAAAAAATATTTGTTACACAATTACACCTCAATATGTTGCGTAATGTTCAATGATGCAGACTTTGACTTTTCTGATTAGTGTTCACTATAAATAGACAGTCCCACTCACTTGAGAAGCTGCTCAGCGTTGTTGAGGTTCATGTACTGCCTAACTGTGTATTGTACCAACGGTCCTAAGAGAGAACAAGGATATTTCAGCTGCTAAAACAAAGCTACCTGCTGCAAACATTTAATAGGGTTTATGCTATCTTTTAACGCCTTGGACTTACTCCAGCTGTCAGGCATGACCTTGAGGGCCAAAGGCAGGAGGTCGTCAAAGGAGGCATCCAACACTAATGACTGGATCTCTGGGTATGACATTACAGCCCAGCTAGCTACAAAACGAAATGGAGAGATAGAGACAGAAAATCCACAACATGGATGAAATGAAACCAGTAATAACATGACATTTTATAGCATATAAAAGTGACCTTCATGTACTGTGGTTCTCTATATGTACCTGTGAATCCTCCAATGGACCAGGCATATATGACAATGTCACTGAGCTGGAAGCCCAGCCTGTGTATTGCAAACTGGATCACTACATCCATGGCATTGGCCTCGTTCTGGGGGAAGGGCACTCCCTGGCAGAAAGTTAAAAAAAGCAATATCCATGCATTATTAAACAAAGCAGTAACACTCAACCACCTACAAAACCATTCACTTCCACGGAGTTAACAGATTTACAAGGTTTCATTCCACTCCACTGATAATATCGACCGAGGGAGTGTACTTGGTCTCTTGTGCAATACTGTCCAACTGAAACCAGTATTTCCACATGTTGTTTATTCCACTGTGTTGTTGTGTATGGAACACACAGGCATACACTGTGGTCTAACTAATGCTGGTTTATGGATTAAAAGTAGTGCCAAATCTGACAACATCGCTTACCGTACTGCCTCCAAAGCCAGGGTGGTTCCAGCCCAGTACAGAGTATCCACCTACAGACAAAACAAACAGATTTAACTCCAATTGAAATACAGCAATTTCATAGAAATAAAGTGTTTTTTTTTCTTTTCACAAAAAATTTAACTAGCATTATGAAATATCTTGAATGTTGTGCAGAAAAGGATGCCTCACCCTCCAGTGGAGTGTTCATGCAGCCCACCTCATAGAAACCTGCATTCCCCTCACAGCAGATGACCTGTGGCAGAATTCATACATTTCAAAAACTAAAACACAATGTGACTGATGTGACACAAGTTTTGTTGGACCCTAGAACAAGCCCAAGGCACAAAAACAACAAATCATTGAAGACATTTACCAGCGTTTGGCCAGTCTCTCCCCCATCTCGCCTTCGATCCACAAACATTGTGTCGATCTCATTACCATCGCAGGCCACAAGCTTGTTCCTTTGGCCGTCAAACTGTGACAAAATGGAGAGAAATTGACAGAGAATGATAATCAGTATTTGAGCGAGTATAGACAGTTAGAGAGTGAGTGTGTGTGGTTTTATTTTTTACCTCCTCTATTAACCTAGCCTGGCCTTGCTGGAGCATGGGCCTCATGGCTTTCTGCAGTAAACCTACGGAGCCAGGGTACAGCATCCTCCTCCCAAATGAGTGGGCAACGAGAAAGCTGGAGAGGAAGAAAACAGATATGATGACACTGTCGCAACATTGGACAACTACTGGAAAAATGTGACTGAATTGGGGTGAAATAAGATGCAAACCTACTATAAAGCAAAGTGTATCCATCCCCTTACTGTGATACTAGTTACAAATCTGCAGTCAGAGCCTTCATTTTTGGATCATGCTGCATAAACTGCATTTACCTGATAATTTGGCATGGTAGAGTGCGCACAGAGTTGAGGACACTGTCTGCTGCTCCCCTTAATCTGGGCTCTGGCTTTAGCAGAGAAACACCAGCCTTGGATAGTTTCCTGTCACATACAGAGTCAAAGGCTTGAAATGAAACAGATAAGAAACAAAGGATTTTGACATTCAATGGAGCATTTATCCAATGTACTTCACAGTGCTCTTAATGCATGTATTTACAATGAACTGACCCTGATGGGAACAGAATGACAGTGAACACACATGGCCTTTTCAAATGGCAATAAGATATAAGAGCAAAAACACTTACGGATTGTTGACTTCTGTCCAGCTGAAATCGAAGGGCCAGTACGAGAAGTCAAAGTCATAGCACCTCACTCTTTTCTACATGGAAAGCAGAAACAAAAAAGAAATTGTCCTTTAAGTTAAGGTCTAATGTAATGTAACTATTCTTGTCTCCTCACTAGCCAAAACATTCTACAGATACCGATAGCAAATTCTGATGTTCAGTACTTGTATCAAGTTGCCGTGGGCTCACCTTGTTTTCTGGTGTGTGATTCTTCTTGGTTGCTTCAAGAATGGAAATAAACTGAAGATACTCTAAGTTTTTCCATCTCCCCCACCCTTGAGGAGAAGAGGCAAGGAAGAGGGAAGAGCAAAACAACAAGTGATATAAGTGCAAACACAAAAAACATTAAGCTGCAAAGCCTCAAGGGTGCATTTAGTATGCTTTGAGGGTGGAGACCTTGTGCAACTGCCTCAATGTTAAGAAAATCTTATTGGCATGCAGCACATACAGCATATGTTGTGATATCTAAAAGTGAAAGAATTGAATTACTCATTGCCTGCCAGTCAATCTGTAGCCTCACCTCTAAGACAGGCCACTCCTAGAAGACACACCAGCACTGTTCCCAAATACTGACTCACAGGAACCAGCTTACTGCTGCAGATGTAACCTAAAAATACACAAAGCAACAGTGACACAGACATGCACATAACCCCCCTCTTTCTCTGACAGCCTTGAGCCTCATTCACAGTCCGACAACTACCCTACAACCACAAGCATAAATCAATATCAAAAGCTCAATTATACACTAAGGACAACTTCAAGCAATTAGTTTCTATTGATGCATAGTCTTGCTGGATGATTCATTTAATTAACTTTATATTAATCCCGCTTGTAGGGGAACAGCAGCTCCCAAGAACATCCTCCAGTAGCAATTTTTCTTACTTAATGGAAGGAGAAATGTCATCCGGAAAAAAAATACATATTTTGACATATGTCACTGTCAAACTTTCTAAAAAATAAAAAAATGACTTCGACTGAAACTTGTCAAGCTCATGTTCAAAGATAAGTTCAGGTTACTTCAGTTCTTCGGTTTTTACAATTTGCTATTCTGGGAGCAGGGGTTGTTTACAAGGAAGTAGGACTGAGAAATGAGGTTGACATCATTAACATGATATTAATCTGGTTATTTTCCAATATACAGTAGATAGATACAGACAAATTAAAAGGATACAAATCCTGAATGAATGAGTGGAGAAACTAAACAAATGCAGATGTTTTCATACAGGACACAAGGGGTGATTGAATAAAATAATGTGAATCAACTGAACACAAGGGTTACTGAGATTAGGAGGTTTATATTGTTTTTTCCTTTAAATTGTCACCCATCTGTATATATCCTAATATGCCAAATGTATGGAAATTATGTATAAAATAATCAAACTGATGGTCAAAGCCATTTACTGTGCTATAGTTATACACTACATGTATCTAAAAAAAAAATTTAATTACACCTTGATCAGAATCTCTTAACTGTAAAATTATGTTGAGAAATAACAACGTTTCACTAACGTTTAAAAATGAATTAATATGAGAATCTGTTCTCAATTTTGTTCTCTTAATCAGAATCAGAATTAGGTTTATTGCCAGGTAGGTTTTTACACATACGAGGAATTCGTCTTGGTGCATAAAATATACAAATCACACAAGAATACTTTTGAAATATAAATAAATTAAGATGAGAAAGATAAGAAAAGAAAACTGTACAGAAAACGGGAGTGAATTAATGTAATGCATATATACAGGATGGGTTTAAGAGTCAGTGTCAAATGTTATTCAACACTTTGGTTTATAAACATCTGAACATATAGAAAAAAAAGAGTCCAAGATGTCCTGTTTTGTCCAACGGTACAAAAATATTAAATTTACAAAAACATAAAATAGAGAAAACAAAGACACCCTCACACTGGAGAAGCTGGAACCAGACAGGGTTTGCTGTTATTCATTGATCCAAAGTGATCTCAGTTGATCAACTGATAATACTAATAATTGTGGAATAGACAGAGAACAAAAAAAAACCAAACATAATCAATACAACCTACCTTTCCTGTACAGATAGCAGAGGAGAAGAGGAGAGCTGTAATAGGACAGAGACCACAGTGCTGAAGCCTGGAGGGAGGAAAACAAACAAATAAACTTAACAGAACTTATAAATGATCTCCATACAGTACAATCAATAATGCAACCATACTGACCCAGCCGAGGATGCTGTCAGTGTGTTTCTCCAGAGTCCTGGGTTGGTAGCTCCAGCCCTGCTAACAGTGAGAGAGCTAACGTCAGCTAGCCGGTAGCCTAGCACTGACTGTAGCTACATTAAACACAATAGGGGGATATAGCTGCACCGTCTTTACACTGGCTGTTAAAGCGGACATATATGCTTATTCTTATTATTCTTTTTTTATTTCTTTTAATTGTTCAGTGTCTATCCTTTCCTCTCCCCGTATTAGCAGTTTCCTCTCACCTAGCATTAGCTACCAGGTCACTGAGGAAACCAATGTTACATTAGCTGTTGGTGTAACGGCGAAACGGAGAGTAACTGAGCGTGAAAACACAGCCACTTCATTCATTCATTCATTCATTCATTCATTCATTTACCGAGTGTGAGCCCGGCTGTGCTGTGCAGAGCCAGCGGGGGTTTCAATAACAAACAACCTGACACTTCCGGGACGCAGCCGGAGCTACATCGATGCTAACAACATTAGCTCCTGTTCAGTCGGCTGCACTCAATAAAAAACACCATATTCATACCCGCCTCCCCGCCCTGCCGTCGGTCCGAGACTGCTCCGGTGACCGGTGAATTCGTTGTAAATGAGGCCCTAAAACACAGCGGAGCCACATCCAGCCGGCCATTCTTCCACTGTGAGGACTACGGAAGTCTGCACTGATCAGAAAGTCTCAAAAAAAAAAAAAAAAGCGAAAGCACTCAGAAAGTTGTTGGGAAAAGGATGTGACAGGCACCAGCATTAGAAGAGAACAATCTTTATTTAGAGGTGTTTGTATTTAAATACAGAAAGGTACAAGACAACTGGTACAATACCAAATGTTTAAGAAAATCAGTGTAAAGGAAAAAAAAGTGAAAAGGACGATATAACATATTAACTTACACACATTTAAGACTACTATTTAAGACTTTTCCACCATGTGCAGCTCCCAAACATGACATTAAAGCAAATCAGTACTTATAAAGAGCAATAGTTTATAATGCAAAAAACAAAACAAAAAACAATTGAGTTGCATTTTCCCTGAAGCACTGAAGTTCTTCACATCCCAACTCTGACATTCAGTTGTTACTTTTGTTTATAAAGGCCTTCTGCTACAGCTGGGAACTGAGCGGATATGACAGCTGGATGAGGATGAGATGTGGGTAGGTGATCAGCTCTGACACTGTTCAGATCTGAAAACAGAGCACAAAGACAAACTAGCACAAAAATCTCCCGTCCCCCAGTCTCTTTTATTCTTCCTTAAACACAAACACAGACATCCCACGCAACAACAACGAACGGGCGAAGGAGCGCTGCCTGTCAGCACATGGCGTGATATTATGCCACTATGTCAGAGTGATGTTCAGGCCAGCGTGATTGGTGAGTGTGAGAGGAATGTGAGGGGCAGATGAGTGACAGTCCAAACACAAACACACACACACACACACACACACACACACACACACACACACACACACACACATTATCACACACACACACACACACACACACACACACACACACACACACACACAAACAGTTCAACATACAAACACACACACACACACACACACACACACACAGGTGATGCAAGGCTTTCTGCTTACCGCTCCAGTTCCTTATAGACATCATCCTCTCCTCTCGGCTTCAAATCCTGGCATAAAGGAGATAAGGGGGGAGGGAGGGGGGGAGGGAGGGAGGCAGGGAAAGAGTGGTACAGTGAAGAGGATGATAAAGAGCAAGAGATCCATGCAACTGAGGCCAGATTTATACCCGTCTACACCCTGTGTAATGAGATTGATTTGTTAATACCACTAATGTAAGGGTGGCAGTTGATAGGCAATGGGTTTATCTGAGAGGGGGCTGACAGATTGGGGGAGAGGACTGCAAGTGTGAGGGAAGACATATCTGCTGACAGCTTAGGGAGGGAGCAATACAGAGAGTGAGAGTCTGTATGCATTGGCAGATGTGCGTATCACAACTCCTCTCACACACACACATGTGCACCTCGCCTCTGTGTGTGCGCAGGGGACGACACAATAACTCACCATGTATACTGAGCCCTCGGGAGGAGCCTGTTGGGAAGGGAGGAGAGCGGAGAAAACAGGTTTAATGAACAACAAGTGACAGGGAGGGAGGGATAGTGGAAATCGGAGAAAAAGAGTGTACAAGAGAGACCAGACAGAAAAAAGGGGAGGGGAGGGTGAGAGAAACAAAAAGAGAAGAGATAGAGTTATAAATACCAGAGGAGAGGAGAGGGAGAGGGGAAGATGAGGGTAAAATGAAGAGGGGGAAATTCATCAGAGGATATTTAGTAATTTGGAAATGTCTGAATTCATCACCTGTCTGTAATCCTCGGGATTCTCATAAATGTTCTCTGCTTCACCCGAGTGGACAGACAGAGACTGCTCAATACCTGGGTGAAGAGAGAGACAGAGAGAGAGAGAGAGAGAGAGAGAGAGAGAACCAATACAGTGTCAATACAGTGTCACACACACACACACACACGCACTGAAATGCACAGGGAGAGAGGAGGTGGGGGCAGATTCATTACAACAACCCCAGAGGATGTCACGGCCCACATCACTCAGTCGAAGCCGACAGGGGCCGAAGATGGACGGAACACGAAGAGCTGTCAAAAGAGAAAACGCCGGAAGACTCACCGCGTTCAGAAATGTGTTTCTGTCTCCATAGCAACACACAGACAGCCGCAGCAACCAGGGGCACCAGGAGTAATAAAGCAGAAAGAGAAGGGAGCAGGGAGGGGGTGGTCACACTATCACTCTCTACAAAAGGAAGAAAAAAAAGTGAGATATAAAAAAGCATGAATGTTTCCAAGAACAGTGCTAATATAAAACTTGTAGAGCTATGAGTGTGAGTGGTTGAATGACATAAAGAAGTTATTCCTGTTTGTTCTCCAGTTTCAAATTAAGAGGGGGGAAATCTTTTTTAATTTTTTTTTTTTTACATGAACACTTGCAATGGATTTATGTTTCGGTTTAGATTTCCTCAACATGTTACATGCATTTGCATCATGCTGCTGTCGAGTCACAGACAATGGGTGCAGTGGAAGAAGGTGGGGAAATCCGGGTTCTGTCAGACAGAGTGAATAGTCTGTATGACAGCTCAGTAGACATCGATCTGACAGACCTTAAGTCTGGACAGTAAACGCTGTCAATTTGAAAACGGGGTCGAGGAGAAGAAAAGCACCGGTATCAAAGAGACCAGATGTTATCAGATCATTGCACAAAACCTCAGCAAATGCCACTTCCATACAGAGTAGTTTGATCTAACTTTTCTTTGCAAATCCTACGTATCTATTCCCTGTCTCATCTAATTATGTACATAGAGTAGGTAAAGTCAGGAGAGGCTTTTCCATGCACACTCCCTTGACATCTAATCCTAGGTAACAAACTGCCTCTAGGCAAAATGACAAACAATGTAAATAAATATCAGTCTTTCAGCCAAATTCTATCAACGCAGAATTGTAAAACAGGTGGATAGAAAGCGTAGGCGTGACTATTACAAGCATTACATAAGCTAACCATTTGCTCACTGTAGCACCAGTCAAATTCTGTGGGAAGAGCTCACGCGTGTGATCAAACTTGTCAGGTTGGTTTGCATAATGAGGATGACATCAGTATTGCAAAACACAGCCACAGGGTGACACGAGAAGCAGGAGGGAGGTACTTGTTTCCACAGAGACTGATGTAATTTGGTGTACCTGAACAAGTGTTCTGTCTCTGTCTGCTCACTGTTCATGGAGCACAAAGCAATCAGATCTGTCAGACATCTTTGGTTTGCAAAAGAGAAGCCCAATAAACCAAATGTACTACAGAACTACCAAAACAGACTTTTTTTGGAATCTGCTTCGTTTTTAAACAATTCATACCATGTCTTTCTGTGGCTTTGGAGGTTATCTGATGGGCAGAAACGTAAAAAAATGTCTACTCATCAGACAATTACAAATTTAGTTTGTAGAAGGATTGGCCTTCTGGTTTCACCTTAGCCCTGGTGTCACAGCTTTTAGCCGGTTTTAAAATAATCAATCATTATGTTCTATGTGAGGTGTAATTGATTGGTGAGTATGTGTAGAGGTTGCTAATGGAATATTGTGGTGAATGCTGACCCCAAGACTGACCTGCACTGTTCTCCATGCCAGCTTTAACGCATGATTTATGGTAATTGAGTGCAGTGAAGTGAGGCATAAATGCTTCCAGTTTCTCACTACCTCTACCACTAAAATCTTTTCTTGCTCTCTTTTTTGTCTCTCTCAACCTTTCTCTCGTCTTCGTCTGTCTCACCTTTCCCTTCGCTCGATTGGCACTTCCTCCCTTCCTCACCTATTTCCTCTCAAATGAGGCAGGAGGTGAATCGTATCAGTGCCATTGTAGAGGAGGGTGGCTGATAGGAGGCAGACCAAAGAACTGCTCGAATGCTTTGCAGATGATGGGCCAACTCAGGATAGCAAATGATTGCAGAACATCCCTGACATTTGAAGTATTTTATGTGCTGTGGAACACAATGATTGCTTCACTTTTGGATTTTCTGAACTGTGGCACTGGTGAGAGGAATGCTATTATGCAGTGTTTTTTTTTTAACTTCTACAATTGGCGCTATATTTTGATACATTAGATATCCTCAAATTATATATATATAACTTACATTGGTTATTTGGTTATTTCCAGTGAACTCAAAGAGTTGTTCTAGTCCCTTCTTTGAGCTAACCCTGTGCAAAATCCCACTGTCTCAGGATGCCTCCTTGCCATCCAGAATAACAATTTATATACCTTTAACTGTCACTGCTTATTGTCATACTATTCATTATTAACCAAGAACTTTTGAGCTATCTTGCACTATTGCGCAACCTGTCACTTTTCAACAGTGGCCATCCAACGGTCACATAATTTGAACTTTTCACTTTGCTCAGTCTGAATTCCTCATGACACACTCTCTATAGTTGTTTTCTCATCCGACTTCTCCAATCAGGTGAATTCTTGCTGCCTCTTTTCCCCTCCCTGTGTTTATCCCCCCCCATGTCCATTACTCTTATAGCCATACCATCAGCGTGCATCATGATGAGCTCTGGGCCCCTCAGCCCAAGTGATGTATTGGGGTACGGGGAGTGAACTCATCTCTGCTAAGGGATCCATTCAACTGTCACATCCTCCTGTGCTCCCCCACAGCCACCAATACAATAAGTCTGAATAATTTAGTTTCAGTGAGGAGAGATGTCCTAAGGTCCTGTCTTCTGATATTCGCATATCAGCCGGGTGAGTGTGATGAGAAAACTGATAGCCTTTATATTTTATGGAAGAATAAGTATTAAGAAATGTGGTGGATTTTTATGCATGTAATTGGACTGGAGTTATTCCGCTGGATATCATCTGCAAATCGCAACTTCTTGTTACACAGGCGCCTTGACCTCTGACCTCTTTACTACACTAAGAAAGCCTAACATATGGTATCTGTCAGGAGCTTTTTTTCTCTGTAAACCAATGGACATTCTGGCAGATGAATTGACCTGAGTTTGGCTTGAATGCACCGTAGAACGCTTCATGGAGCACATATCCGGGAATCATCCACATTAATGGTTCATTATCTCCACTGAGTTGACAGGAAGTCTGCCAGGACTCCCAGAGTAGTAATATAATACACTGTTGATAAAGAAAATCAGAAACAGACCAGTCTTAGTGA